TGCCGGGCCTGGGTAGCCCGGGTCTGCGCCCGAACTCGGCAGGAAAATGGTCCGGGCTAGTGGTCCAACGGTCAGATTCGTGACCGTTTGGCCGGGCTAACCGGCCCGACCACAACGGTAATGGTCACGAATGTGACCGTTGTCGGACAGCTCGGACCCAGCCACAATAATCACGAATGCGACTGTTGTGACCGGGCCGGGCCGAGCCTGCCTGGACCCAGCCCAGTCCGAAAGGCCATAACCGTCAATTTTTAGCTTTTGACCAAAATACCCCAAAATGGTTTAAAACGGCCAAAATTTGAGCGTATTTTGATCATTTGGCTAGGGGGTTGCTTCTATAAATATAGTGAGTTTTTATTGATTTTTCTCATCCAAAACTCATCTACTTCTCTTTAATACTCTCTAATATTTTTTTATTCTCTCTTTTACTCTTTAATTCTTCAATCAAATGGCTTTCTCCTTTGATTATGAAGGGCAAATCCCAACTCCCGATGTTGAAATGAGTCCTAATACTCCTACTACAGGAGCTACAGTTACTTATCCTACTGATATTGATCACGAATCCGGTGGCGATAATTCTGCATCTAGAGCTCCTAAAAGGCCAAGATCCGATGTGTGAAACTTGTTCGAGAAGATAGAAGTCACTAGGGATCAATACGGTGGACTTCTTACCCCAAAATGCTAAGTGTGCATGTGTACGTTGTGCGATCATATTTTCCAAGCGCATCATAAAAGAGGCACCAACCACCTCAAACGCCATTTAGAAAAGCATAACAAAGGTTAGGCAACGCCTCAAGGTGATATTCGACAATCTTTACTCTCCCAATCATCATCCTTCGGTAGTCTCGATAGTTTGAACTATGACGCAATTAAAGCCAGGAAATGTGTCATCAAGTTTATTGTTCTTAAAAACCTTCCTTTTAAATTAGTAGAAGATGATTAATTTAAAGATATGATTACAGATGATTTTTATCCTGTATTTAAAAAAAATCTGTCAATCTTGTTAACGTGATATTTTGAAATATTATCACGAGGAATAAGCAAAAATATTTTTTTTATTTTCATAATTTAAACTGTAAATTTTTTAAACTTCTGATATTTGGATATCTACAGCACAAACTGGTTATTTATGTATCACAACACAATGGATTAATGATAATTGCAAATGTTTAAAAAAATTATTTCTTTTATTGCATTTGAAGATTCACACAGTGGTATTAATATTGTAAATTTAATAATAGAAGAACTTATAAAATTAGAAATTTTAGAAAAAATATTTTTTCTTTCACTAGATAATGCAAGTAATAATAATGTAATTGCAGATCATATCAAATCATTTTTGCTATTGCCATGTCATGGTGATATTTTTTATATTAGATGTACGTGTCATATTTTAAATTTAATTGTTTAAAGTATTTGGTGAAATTCAATCCATGATAGAAAATGTTAGGATAATAGTTTATGCTTATAATACTTCTGAACAAAGACTTAAAAGATGGAAACAATTGTATAAAAGAAAAAAATTAAAAACCTAGATTAATTTTAAAATATGTTGCCCATAGGTGAAATTCTACCTATGCAATGTTAAATGTAGCAATAGAGTATAAAGAAATTCTAAATAATTTTATTGCTTTCTATACTTCTAGTTCTAGCTCTGGTAGTATGTATGAAATAACTGAGGATGAATGGTTAGTTGTATATAGTGTAAAAGAGATGTTACAAGTTTTTTATGATGCTAGTATATGTTATTATCTGGTTGTTATTATCCAACTATTATTTAAGCTGTTTTATAAGTTTTAAATATTAGAACTTTTTTTTAATAATTATCATATGAATAATTATTTTGGAAATATGATTTCTCAAATGGAAAGTAAATTTAATAAGTAGTTTAGGCTTATTCCTATTATTTTTGGTTTGGGGGTTCTTATTGATCAATGTTTGAAGGATGTTGGTCTTTGAAATTTGTTAAATTCTTTGTATGGTAACATGATAATAGACACTGATGACGGCCAAACTATTATTGCTCTTACTCATCATAATACTATTAGAACTTATTTTCAAATATTATATGATGAGTATGCAGCTAGATATAGTGTAAGTACACATCAGTCTACAACTTCTGCTTCTACGAGTTCAAGTCGGGGCAAAGGTAAGAGTTTTGATATTGAATTAATGATAGCTTAGCTAACTGGTGGATTTGGATCATCAATGAAAGTTTCTGAAATTGAACAATATTTAACTACATCTTTAATTAAAATTCAAAATAATAGTTGTAATATTTTGCAATGGTGGAGAGTATATGTAACGGTTTTATATCTTATACTTTCTATCATGGCTCGTGACTTACTAATAGTGTAGCTTTCTAGGGTAGCTTCTGAATCCGCCTTCAGCACATCAGGACGTTTGATCGACGGCCATAGGATATCGCTAGATACGTCTACCGTACAGGCGGTAATGTGCCTACAAGATTAGTGAATGCACGAAAGAGAACTCAAGGCATCGAACGGATGACTAGTATTGAAGATAAACTTGACGAGTTGGCAATATGAGATAGAGATAAAGAGCAGAACTGTAGAAATACTCATTACTTTGTAATTTTTATTTCTTAGCTGAAAATTGTGATAAATTATTTTGGAAAAATTTATAAATAATAGTGATAGAGATGAGTAGGTGCCAACCTAGTTGGGATGTATTCATCTATTGTGATACGACAAACTCCAAAATAAAATTTTCATTGTTAGTGATTATTAATAAAGAATTTATTTTTATCATTTTAATTTTTATTGTTTTTTGTATTTGTAAATTATATAATTACAAATGATTAATGATAGGATTGGTTTTTTATCAAAAATTGACTTAATTTATTGTTATTTACTCTTGAATTTTTTTTAAAAAAATAAATTTTAAGCAAAGATAAAAAAAGAAAAAAAATGATCGGACCGGTCCGATGCTTAGCTCGCTCGGGCCCAGACCCGACCCGGGCCAACTAGGCCTGGGTCATGGGTTTTGCCCGGCCCAAGCCCAGTTTATGGCTGGCTGGGCCGGGCCGGACCGGTCCGGTCCGGTTGAACAGACCTAATTCAAACTACTACAAATTAGTATATTTATAAACTACTACAAATTAGTATATTTATAATTTATTACGAGACTAAACTTAGCTAGCACCCCGATTATAAAGCATGTATTAGCGCATGAATTATGGAGCGAACAAGGATTGGCGCATCTCTCTATGATACTAGCTAACATGTTTTTTACATGATATATATAAATTCAAATTGTTAGTTATGCTTTAAGAATGTTGATGACCTCAATTTTAGAAATCTGCATATGACCAACGATACATTAAGGGGGTGTTTGTTTTGCATCCCAAAATTTATGGATATGGATTTCACCATAGAATTTGAAATCCATAAAATTTTTTACATGTTTTGGGATCTCTAAAATTTTGTTTGTTTCATCAATATTTTAGGATTTAGAATACCAAAATTTGTAATATTTTGTTTGTTTCATCAATATTTTGGGATTTAAAATACTATAAATTATATATTATAATATTATATAATATTTTAATAACATATATTATTATAATATTATATAATATTTTGGGATTTGGAATACTACAGCATGAACAGTGATTATTGGGTCCTTCTATATATATTATATATTATATATATAATATTATATATATATTATATATTATATATATCCTCTGTATTCTGTTTCAGAAAGACATATGTGCACATATTTGCATCTCTATTATACGTTTGTTTTAGGCCATACCTCCAATGCTCGCTCTACGCTGCCAGTCTATTTTCCACAAAACTAATGCATATTGGCTGTTATGTGTTGGTGTTCAGGTGCGTGGGTATGTGTAGGCATCTGTGCATGGATGTGTTGGTGGGTGGGTATACATGTGCAATTAACCCTTTCCAATATTGAACAGTTTAGAGAGTAGAATTCTGATTTGTGTTCTTGGGTCCATCTTGCTTGTTTGTGGCTACATTGCACGATATGTATTGGTATGGCTATTTTGTATTGTTGAATTTGGGCAATGATGATGGTCATATTATGAGAATGCAATCTACAATGTTTTGCTATGTTTAGGTAGGGCAATCTAGGATGAGAATGCAACCTAACATTGTATTTACAATGTTAGGTGAGGCAATCCATTCATGTGATTGCAACCTACATTGCAACATCATTGTTAGATGAGGCAATCCATGTATTCAATTTTAATATCTGTATCTGAGCCCCTACCTTGGTCCTATTATGAGTTTTCTAATGGTTCATTGTCTGAGCCTTGGGTTGGGTGCTTGTCGGATGCGTCCATAGGTGCGGGAGATCTGTGGGTGGTTGTGTGTTTGCATTGGGGGGTGCATGTGGTCGTGTGATTGTGCAGGTGTGCATTTGTATTTGTGTGCGTGCGAGTGTATGCATGAATGTGTGTGCTTGTGGCTGTTATGTGTTGGTGTTCAGGTGCGTGGGTATGTGTAAATTATCTGTGCATGGTTGTGTTGGTGGGTGGGTATACATATGCAATTAACCCTTTCCAATATTGAACAGTTCAGAGAGTAGAATTCTGATTTGGATACAAGTATGCAAATTATCTTGATCTATGCAGGGTAGAGGGGAGCACAAGAAAATTTTCAATAAATATTTGCTCGGAAGCTGTCTTCATGATCAGGGAGTTTAATCTCATATTACTAATTATCTTACTCAGCCTGCTTCAAATCTTCTAATTCACACAGCTCTCTATGTGATGCAACTTTCAGAGGCAGTGTCATTGGTATAGCTAGGTGATAATACCAGGATGCGATGTTTTCTGGGATGGTTAATGTGGTTCGAGGTCTTTGATTATTGTTAAACACGACTATTTCAGATATATCTTGCTAATGTGAATGAAGAAATATGCATGTCATCTATTCTGTACTTGTTTAAGTGGCTTGGTTATCTTGCATCTTATAATTTTACTGAAGAAGTATATATAATTTTCATCTATTCTGCGCTTTGTATGTACGTTTGATTTTTTTCTCCAGTGAATTGTTGTGCGTTGTTTGCTTATGTATAACTGTGCAATTGTATTTGTTTTTGTATGGGAGGTAAGCTCGCCAAAGTTCTTATATTCACCATTTATTATTTTGGTAATCCTAAAACTTGTTTGTTAAATTTATGGATTTCAAATTCTAAAATTTGTAATGCTACAATTTGAGTTTGAAACAAACAAGAATTTACAAATTATAGCATTCCAAATCCCAAAATATTGATGAAACAAACAAAGTTTTAGGAATCCCAAAACCTACCAAAAAATTTATGGATTTCAAATCCCATGTGAAATCCATATCCATAAATTTTGGGATTTGAAACAAACACCCCCTAAGCATTAATACATCAATATCCAACCTACATCCTCTCTCAATTGTAGGATTTCACAAATTCTAAAATATAATAGTTTTTTATTATTTGGGTATTAAATATCCCAAAATTGGTTTTGAAACAAACATTGTTTATGGAATTCTGAAACCCAAAAAACTTGTAATCCACCTTATATCCCCAAAAAAGGTTGAAACAAAAGAGAGGATTTCACAAATCCTAAAAATATATTATTTGTTTATAATTTAGGGATTCAATATCCCAAAATTAATTTTGAAACAAACAAAGTTTATGGAATCTCAAAACTCAAAAAGAGCACTTTTTACATCCCAAAACTTGAAATCCACCTTATATCCCAAAAAAAACAAAACAAACACCCCCTAACCATATTGTGGAAGTCCCTGTTTAGTATAATTAAGTATACCTATTGTATAGAGGGGCACTACAATCACACCATCAACCACACCTCCTCTCCTGCTACAGTGCAGCGGGCCCCGTATGAAATTTTTTAAAAAATTTCATATGGAGCCCACTGCACTGTAGCAGGAGATGAGGTGTGATTGATAATATAATTGATGGTGTGCCTGTATCATTTTCCTATTGTATATTAGAAAAATGGCTTTTTTATTATGTGAAGTTATTTAGATTAGACTAAAACGGACAAAATAATAATGCATAAGTGCATGACTAATGTTATGAAAATAGGAAACACACCCAAAGCTTTACCTCAACGCAGTCCCCGATATTGACCAAATAAGACCCAGCAACATGAGGGACTGGGACCCACTTCCCCCTGTACCGTACCTGCAGCCCCTCCACGTCATTCTCCATCAGTATTGTGATCCCACCACGGTCAGTATGAGCAGAAACTCCCAACGTGAGATCCGGCTGGGGGCATTTTGGGTAATAGTTACAGGCAACAATTTGCGATCCTTCCCCAAATACCCTTTCCATGTAATTTGAGTCCAATCCTAAACCCTCCGAGATTGCCCCTGCTAGTTTCATGGCCAACTTCCACACCTCTTCGAGATAAGTTTTAGTCACTTCCCTTTAAAATGAAAAGAGCAAAGGGTTTTTAACTTTATATGTTTAAACTATCTACATGCCACTAAAATTTAAATCTGAAGTTTAAATGGTGATGCATAAAAAAATTATTAGAGAATCATGAACTATTAGACGGCAGCATTGTTAAAAATATTGAACATTTTTTTTTTGGTGAATGAAAAAAATTTATTCACTACCAAAAATGTGAAAGTTTAGTATACCTCAAGATACTCAGATTAGCACAACGTATCTGAGTAACAAACAAAAAGAAACCTAATGACCCCCTTAACAGAGATTACAATGAAAACTAGCTTCAATTCCACCTTCAGGGCTATTGAGAACAATATACAATATCTCTATTTTAATTTCTTTGATCACATCATCCGCACCTTTGCTTTTCTCTTGAAACAATCTTCTATTCATTTCTCTCCATAAAATGTATACTGTAGTGACCATGACCATTTTCTTAAGTTTTTGAGTTAAACACTTACCTCTCAGACAGGTAGAGAACCAGTGCACACATTGGTTCCAATTATAAGATTTCCATCTACTTCGGAGCCAATCCAACACACCATTCCATACATGGCATGAAAAAGGAAAATCAAAAAACAAGTGATCCCTGGATTCCACCGAAGCAGAGCACAAGCAACATGAGTTAGAGTTTACGATCCCCCACTTCAAAATTCTGTCCTGTGTCAACAATCTATCCTGAATTGCTAGCCAGCATACGCGAAAGAGTGCTTAGGGATATTTAGTCTCTCCCAGATAAGCTTCGACCATGTTACATTACTTGCACTTGGATACAAGCACTTATATAGGGCAGAGAGTTTTATTTTTCCATCCATACTGCAGGAACATATCATATTCTTCAGATTTTTCACCCCACCACAGAAAGAAATAGCTTTTTCTCTTGACTTAAGCAATTGTCTCCACATCCATGAGTCTCCACTTCTTATATTCACATGCCAAATATCACTATTTTTCAAATATGTACCATGGATCCACTTAATCCATAACAACTCCTTGTTTATATGAATATGCCATATACACCTCAAAGCAGATGCATAATTCCAAATAGGAGCAGAGAACAACCTCAATCCTCCCTGTTCCTTCCTTAAACATATTTTCTCCCATGACACAAGAGGAGATCTAAAATTATGAGTTGATTTACCCCATAAAAACCCCTTGCACAATGCATCAACCCTCTGCAGAACCTTACCTGGGAGGACAAAATTGGAGATCCTGAAAGTTTGAATACCCAGTATCACACTTTTGATCACTTGTAATCTACCTGCATATGAGAGGGTTTTATGCTTCTGTCATGTATTGAATTGATCTTCAATCTTTGTAAATAAAAGATTACAATCCAGGTAAGACAATCTCTTGGTTACTAGGGGAACACCCAAATATTTGAAAGGCAGTTCACCCAATTTGAACCCCAACAGGTTGATGATAGAAGACTTTGTTAAATCATCTACACCCCCTAAGAAAATAGAACATTTATCAGGGTTGGCTTCAAGACCTGAAGTATTGCCAAACTCTTGAGCACATTGGTGAAGTTTCTGTATTGAGTAATGATCAGCTTTAGAAAATAAAAGGAGATCATCCGCAAAGACCAAGTGTGAAATTTTGAGCTTCTTACATTTAGGGTGGAATTTGAACATCCAATCATGATATAGAAGATCTAACTTCCTTGAGAGATACTCCAATCCTAGGATGAAGAGATAAGGGGAGAGAGGGTCACCTTGCCTTAAGCCACGTTTACCTTTAAAATAGCCATGGAGGGAATTAAATATTGAACATTTTGTATAAAAAGTTCACGACAAATTTCACAACGATAATATAGAAATGTATAACAACAAAATTGTTTGAAGTGTATCAACGATAATATAGAAATGTATGAAATGTATAACAACAAAATTGTTTGAAGAGTATCAAATGTGATAACTTAAATAATATCCTCATACACGATAGTTTCAGTGAAAAAGTTTGCGATAGTATTCTCTAATAATATTTTACAGTAGCTCACGACAGTGTTTTGAAATCTGCACACCACTCCCCACCCCCCAAAAAAAATCACCGTTTGATATTCAATTTTAGAAGATACATTCAAATGTTACTGTTGCATAAATGTGGGTGTCATTTGTTAGACAAAATACAAGTTTATGTAGTTAAAATTTACCTGTATTCGGAGGGATTAGTAGGCCAAAGCTCACAGGTATTGTTGTTGAAAGGTCGGCCAAAATGTCGAAGATAATCGCGCCAATGACGAGCATGCATCCCTTTGTCGGAACTAAGGTTGGAGCCATATAAAACAGGACATGCTTCATCAGATGAAGAGTAAATCATCTTTTCCTCAAACGGAAGCTCGAAAAATTTTGCGACTAGTTGTAGCATCATCTCCATTAGCGGACTATCCACACCATGGTTTATTGCCTGCCAAATCTCAAAATATCTAACCATAAAATTTTAAGACATCTGATTTAATAGCCACTAAATGTAGAAAATCTATTTTTTTTTAAATTTTAAAAAATGTGTAAGCTAAGGGGCTGTTTGGTTCGCTATTATAAGGGGTGGAAAACTCAGTAAACCCCTCCACGTCAGATTTTTAGCCCTCCACGTCAGCTTTTTTGTTTCCGTCCATTTCTTTGTGCCGCTTTGGTTCGCTCGAATGGAAAAGAAAAAACTCTGCTGAAATCGCCGCCAACTAAGATTTTTTTCCCTTTCCGATTTCCTTCCCCAACCAAGTGAAATTGATGAAAACTCTGCCACGTCAGATTTTTTCCTTCTCTGCTTTGTTTACAAAAGTTTTCCTTTTTTCTATGCGAACCAAAAAAAAAAAAATACATTGGTTTCCCACCATTTTTTATGTGCGAACCAAAGCAAAACAATCTATTTCTTGGAAAAGTTTAAAAAACTCAAAACTTGTGTTTCTTTACATGGAATTACATTTCTCTATATCAAGGAAGCGAACCAAACAGCCCCTAATTGAAAATAATTAAAAAAATTATTTAACACAGCTACTTGTACTTTATGCATTATCTTTTGGGTTTTTCAAACCGTTATCGGGCATTAATGCCTAAGAATGAGAGAAATAGAGAGAGACGAAGGAGAAGAAAGAAAATGAGAGACACAAACATAGGGCCATGCTCACCTTTCCTATATATCTCTCGATCTCCTTATTTAATTTCCATTGTTATAATTATCTTTACGTCAATTCTATTAGAGCATCTCCAACAGCTTCTCCATTTTCTACTTTTGGATAATTTAGTTAGATTTTTGGTCCAACAGATTCTCCATCTCATTCCACAAAATAGGCACTAGTAGAAATACACATATTCTAGACGGAATATTCTAGACGGAATTTTTTCCGTCTAGAATGTATTAAACTAGACGGAAAATTTCCGTCTAGAATATTCCGTCTAGGATAAAACATTCTAGACGGAAATTTCCGTCTAGAATAGTAAAGTAGACGGTTTATTTAATTTTATTTTTTTTTAAAATTAACCAAGTATTCTAGACGGAAATTTCCGTCTAGAATAGTATCCTAGACGGAAAAAATTAACCAAGTATTCTAGACGGAAATTTCCGTCTAGAATAGTATCCTAGACGGAAATTTCCGTCTAGAATACTTAGCCAATTTAAAAAAAATTACCCAATAAACCCGCGAACTTTCCCCCCCAAAAACGCTTAATTCATCCCCAAATTCCAAATTTCAGTAACCCCTCTCTTACTGCTCCCTCCACCGCCTCCACCTCCTCTCCCTCTCCCTCCTCAACCTCACCCCCGACCAATCGCTCCCCCTCTACTCCCTCTCCCTCCACGGCCTCCACCACCTCTCCCGCCTCCTCTCGTCCTCACCGGACCCCCTCCCGAACTCCTACATCCTCTCCTCCGCCCTTAAGTCCTCCCCTCTCCCTATCGTCCGCGCCCTCCACTCGAAGCCTGGCGATTTGGAGAGCGCCACAGCCATGATCACCTGCTCGACGAGTTCATGGACAAGAGGCCTACAGTTCCTCCGGCATCGACATGCTCTCCTCCCTCGACGGCTGCTGACGCTCCCCCTCCACCTCTCGCCTCACACGTTAGGTATCAACACACCCTCTTTGACACCCCCTCTAATTGGGCTGATTAATCTCTTGCTAATTTATTGATTTTGGGAGTTGCAAGCTAACTATTTGATAGAATGCCTCTAAGTAATTCAATTTGATTTCTAGGTTTATGAAATTGTTTCTTTTAGTTGTATTGGAGGAGGGGGTTGGTGTCGTTGTTTGCGGAAAAAGTTGCTGTATTCATTGCTGCATTCATTACAACTTCAATCGTTACAATGAAATAAAAAGGTAGCCTTTTTATAAGACCGGTACACAATGAAAACAAAATAAATACAACTCTTTTCAAACAAACGCAAGATCTGTTTGTCATCTCTTGCTTGCGTGGGTCTTTGGCCTGTGACGGGGATGTTGATATCCGTGGACCACCGGGGCACTCAGATCTGGTCCGAGAAAATCGGGCAGAGCTTCGTCTATCCGCGGAGGGATTTAGAAACTTCTGATCCCGAAAAATCGGACAGAGCTTCGTCGATCCGCGGGGGATATCCGCGTGAGATCTAGAAGCTATAAGCGTATACCTCGGCTAAAACGAGGTAATAGCTCTTCTTAGTATCAACGCTAAGGCCAATACTAAGGATCTGACGGGCGTTACTCGTATCGGCTAACCTTTTATTAGTGATTGGATCTATTATATAATAGAACTCTTCCATACAAACATATGACAGGGAACTGCTACATGCAGTTTCCATTTTAATTTTCATCCCGTGTTTCAGCAATTCTCTTTGTCAATTGTTGGGCTTCCTCGCCAAATGTACACTTGGCAGTGGCGTGAATAGCTTTGATCAGTAGATTGAGGAGGTTAGAAGTAGACTTGCATATGTTAGCATTGGCACCATAGAGTACTCTTTGGAGTATTGAGGAACAGTTTATACTCTTGTACTCTTTGGAGTATTGAGGAACAGTTTATACTCTTGTACTCTTTGGAGTATTGAGGAACAGTTTATACTCTTGTACTCTTTGGAGTATTGAGGAACAGTTTATACTCTTGTACTCTTTGGAGTATTGAGGAACAGTTTATACTCTTGTACTCTTTGGAGTATTGAGGAACAGTTTATACTCTTGTACTCTTTGGAGTATTGAGGAACAGTTTATACTCTTGTACTCTTTGGAGTATTGAGGAACAGTTTATACTCTTGTACTCTTTGGAGTATTGAGGAACAGTTTATACTCTTGTACTCTTTGGAGTATTGAGGAACAGTTTATACTCTTGTACTCTTTGGAGTATTGAGGAACAGTTTATACTCTTGTACTCTTTGGAGTATTGAGGAACAGTTTATACTCTTGTACTCTTTGGAGTATTGAGGAACAGTTTATACTCTTGTACTCTTTGGAGTATTGAGGAACAGTTTATACTCTTGTACTCTTTGGAGTATTGAGGAACAGTTTATACTCTTGTACTCTTTGGAGTATTGAG